ATATGATGTTATATCAGATGTTATGGTTGAGAACAAAGTGATGTTTTCAATGTTCCTGAAATTTTAAAAATGCATCTTAGTAAAAAACGAGTGAAATAAACTAGAATAATAATTGTTTCATTTGAAACTATGTAGCCATGCAATATCAGATGTTATGGTTCGAAACGAATTAATGCTTCAATGTTCCTGAAGTTTGAGTAATGAACCTCAGTCACTAGTGTAACGGCCTTTGTTTCTGTTAAGGTCAGACACTACTCTGGTATTTGACGGGAAGGAAGGGGGGCGGTTCTCGACCTCCAGATTGTTTATGAAGGTAGTTTACTCTACCTGCTCTGCACAAAATATTTTTGTACAGAGGCCCAAACTAGCAACAGTGGAGAAAGGTGAAGGAGGTATACCTACCTCGGTACCTACAGTATGAACCAGGGGTCAATCCCAGATAGCACACACTCGCCTAAGGTCATCCTCAATGTGTCGCCAAACGCCTGGAGAGGACGTTCTATTTTCCACAACCTAAGAACATCATCAGGCGTAAATTCAGCGCTGTAATTGTCCTAAATGAGTTCTTTCAGTGACAGCCTGAGGATGTAAAGAATTTCGTGCCTACGGACGTCTTCAGATGACATTCCATGAATAACGTGTCATCGAAGACACAAGGAAGAAAAAGAAGAACTAGAATTGAGGTTATGTCTCATGATAGTCATGATTTGTTCAAGATACATCATAATATTAATGATTATATCAAAATTATTAGAGTATTCATTGAATACCTCCATCATGCATTCATCAAATTTCTATTTCACAAAATGATTGCGAGAAGAACTTATTGCACAGAATTAAAAGATAACAATAACAAAAGGATGATAATCTCTGTTGATGACATTTCTCTCAGGTAGCAAGAAACAAAGGTGAGTAAATACTAAAAAGAATCATTGATAGTACCGGACATGGAATATTGATACATTCATATACATTATTTATTGTTTCAGGAGGTTATTGAGAACAGAAACTTGATGATATCATCATAGCAAACATGTTTTATTCCAAGATATCTTTGCTTCTTCAGAATCTATAAAATATTGTATGGAAGCTTGCACATTCAGTATGAATTCAATAAAGGTAGGTACCTGAATCAAATCATTGATATAGTAGGTACTGGACATGAAATATTAATAGGTTAATTATTTGTTTCAGATGAAGTTATTGAGAACACAAGATTGATGATGTCATCAGAGCAAAGATGTTTCATTCCAAGATATTTTGGCTTCTTCGAAATCTATGTGAGATTGTAGGCATGTTTGCACTTTCAGTATATTCAATAAAGGTAGGTACCTTAATCAAATCATTGATATATAGTAGGTACTGGAACATGAAATATTAATAGGTACATTATTTGTTTCAGGAGGTTATTGATAACACAAAATGATGATATCATCAGAGCAGAGATATTTTATTCCAAGATATTTTGGCTTCTTTGGAAATTATGAAAGATTGTACATAATGCAGACTTGAACTTTCAGTAGATTCAATAATGGTTGGTACCTTACTACATAAATCATATCATTGATAGTAAGTACTGGACATGAAATATTAGTACATTGTTTGTTTCAGATAGTTTTGCTTCTTCAGAATCTATAAAATATTGCATGAAGGCTTCAACTTCCAGTTGATTCTGCATCAGGAATGTCCAGAGTTCAGAAATCAAAAACAACATGAAGAAATATAACTACCAATAGGCAATAACTTCTAGTAGTGCTCAACAAGAAGCTGAAATACATTTCTTCAAAAAGGAAATTGAAATTTTTCAGAATAAGTTATAAATAATAGAATGTAAGTTTTTCATTTGGTTTTTCATTTGAACCTATTATAAATAGAGGGAAATTTTGCAAATATCATGAGATCCATATTATTTTGAAGAAATTATCATTTGCATAATACAAAATACAAGGTGAGTCAATAGTGTGTTATCCTTGTATATTAGCCAAACCATCAGATGAATAGAGAAAATTCAAGTACAACAGTAATAGGGTTTCATGAGAACTTTCACATTAAATTGTATAGGGTGTTTGAATTCCAAGATATATTGACTGATGATTGTTTTTTTTTTCAAATGGGTCACCCTGTATACTATTGCATTTTTAGGTTCTCCCTGAAGAGCTGATTTCATCAATGTATCAAACTTTGGGTCTAGCGGGAATGATTACAGAGATATAGGGTGTTCAAAAACAAGATTTTTCAATTTTAGGATTTTTTTTTGTGGAAACTATTCAATATTGGTCAAAACATCTCACATTTCCTTATGAACTTTTGATTTACTATCTAATGACATTCAATCGGAACAAATAGAGGGTGGTTCAACATCCAGAATACTGATCAGCTTATTGTATCTGTTCCAAATAAATATCAGTAGATAGCTTATCAAAAGTTAAGACAGGGACATGTGAGCCGATTTGACCATTAATGAATAGTTTCGACACAAAAAATCCTACATTTGAAGAATCTCCATTGTCAACATATCTCTGTAATAATTCCCACTAGACACCAAGTGTGATGCATTGATGAAATCAACTCTTCAGGGAAAACTCAAAAATGTAATAATATACAAGGTGTTCCATTGAAAAAAACCAATCATCAACCGATATCTTGGAATTCAAACACCCTAGCTATAGATATGAAAACAACTTTAGGTGATTGTTCTTATGAAACCCTATTACTGTTGTACTTGAATTTTCATTTTATATATCTGACGGTTTGGCTAATATCGGAGGAGAACACACTAGTGACTCATTCTGTATACGAATAATATTCTCCCATAAATCTTGAACCTCCTTGAAACATCATCAAAAACCGCCTCAAGTTGTTACTATGATGTCCTGAGGTTGTCTCAAAAGATTTTATAGGGATGTTCTGAGACGTTATTAGTATGTAGAGAATGGTAACAGGAGGACGTCTTAAGAATGTCCTCTGGCTCGCTCTCGACGTCCTGAGGACATAATTGTGAACGCCTCAGAAGGGCCTCAAAAGGAATTTGTGCTATCTGGGATGTTATTGAATCGACCTAGAATCAATAAGGAGCCAACGGAGTGTAGGCTTTAATTACAAACCCCGGGTCTAGCCTAGAATACTATGGTTGCTATTTTTAGTCGGGATAATCACCGGAATCAAAGCAAAATATCTCTCGGGTCTTTAGTATTTTCAGGTTAGGTCTGAAAAATTATTTATTCACCCTATTTCATTAAGTCTACCTGGAGAATCGGAAACACAGTTCCGAACGAATTAAACAGTCTCAATTCATATTCATCTTTCCTTCTCCTTCGATGTTCTTATTTTCTCATATACAGTATGATGCGAATGTATGGAATAAATTCATTATTTCAGAAATGGGCGACATTTGAAAAAATTCCAAAAACACGTGAGTTCTAATTTCTGAAGCCTCATCTCATGATATTCATATGATAGATGTTACGTCACCAGTGTTGAAGTAAAGACGTAATGGACGATTTTTTCAAATACAAATAGGGGTCATGTGACAACTTGATTGAAAGGTCTACCGATCGTCTATTCAACAGTCAAAATGTTACATGAGAAGATTTAAATTAAAATGGATTATCATGTGATTAATTGAATCTTGCAGAGGTCTGCTACTGAGAATTGATCATCGAAGGGTCGTCTAGTTAAACAAATACGTCGAAAGAAGAGTTCTGAACTCTAGTTTTTGATTTTTTTCTCGAAAGTCGTCTTGTTTTTGAATGAATTTATTCCATACATTTGCATTATACTGTACGTATATCAGAATTTTAGTGAGGTTAATTATATTTTTCCATTTATGTCAAAATCTCATGAGCCATAGAACACGACCGCCTGACAGGACACAAAGCACAGGGACACCGGTGCACAGGACTGGAACGTTCAGGGAAAAGATGGGAAGAATTGACAACTGGCTTGTCAGTGTCAGCCGTCAGTCAATAATAATAATCAGCAATTTGACAAATGAAAATATAGAGAATCATTAAATAAATTATTGGAACTATTCGGAACTGTACACAATGACAACAGAGAAAGAAATATGAAATATGCAATCACATTGAACTACATCTGTTGTGCACCCAAGAGGAGGATATGATAAAAAAATCCTCTGAAATTGAAAATCGAGATTCACTTCACCAATATATTCAGTATCAGTAATGTTGGGGATACATCTTCCAGGTTGAATGTCTTCAGTCGTAACATATCTGAGAATATTCCTTTTCATAACATTCATACCGAATCAAGGGGTTTGAATTTGAACGATTGTTGTCTTGCTTCTGCAGACCTCTCGTCACTGATTGGTGATTGGGCTTCCTCAACTCAGATTCTGCGCCCTGTATGATGAACATCGATTTATCGTACAGATGACATAATATAGAGATAGTATAGAGAGATGAAAATTGTGTTTTTTATAGAGAATGGCTGAAATAATAACTGGATTTCGAGTCACTGAGAAAGGTTTGAAACCCTGATTGAGTTCATTCGAATAAGGTCATAAAAATTACCTGTTTGTGAGAGATATTATATTCCAAACATCACTGATACGAATGATTTTTGGAAGCTTCCAGCTCAACAAGATCAGAGTTTTTGTACAAGTATATTTCTCCTTTACATTTCAATTTCCGTATCAACACGAAATATATATTGATAGCTCACATTATATCATTTCACATCATATTACTTATCCGATCTGAGAGGGCATGAAAATCCTCAACTTGAAAAATGTAATCTTCAAATTTTCATTGTGCTTGTTCAATAGATGTTATTCAATATTCGTTGTGGTATATAGCCAGGAAGTCACCTATAGTTATTGTTTTCTGTTGAATATACCCAAACAGAATTGATATTTTCATCAAACAGAGAATGCGAATTCTCAATGTACTTCTCAATGTATCGATTTTTCCATGTTAATGATCTGTTTAAAAATATTCCTATTCAAAATTCATAAACTTATATAATATTTCTTCACGCACCTGTGAACTCTTCGTACGTTATGCCTGTTAGAAGTGGCACTTTGTTCATCTTCCCTTTAACTACGTCATCGTGCATTGGTCCGCTAAGAAACGCATTCGGGTCACTTGGATCCTCAATGACAGGTCCCCACAGTAGAGGGTACACTCCCAACATAACGCCGTTCAGGTTGGGAGGAATCTGGAAAAAATGGGGACTTTATGCACTGGATGTATCTGGAAGACGGTTATGAAATGATACTGCAGATTGAGATACAAATGTTTCATTAGTTTCGATTCTTCAATGCATTTTTTGCAGCATCATTGGCCTTGAGTTGCATCCGTATTGGAATTGACCTATTATCTTTGTGCTTGTTATAGTATGTCAATTTCTCAGGATATTTCTAGCATTTGTATCTATCTTTGGTCTAAAACGATATGCTCTATGCTGTTTTGTTGATCAAAGACTAACCGACTTGCTCCAGATTCTGAAAGTATCACAGAGATATGCCAAAGAGTTTTCCATATATTTTGGTCAATACACTTCCAACAGAGTGAAAATTGCACTTCAAGGAATGAAAGGGTACTTTTCATCCCTTGGCAAAATTGACATTTTGTATACCACTAGGAGTACGAGAGTAGGTGCAATCTTCCATTAGTTTCTCAATCATCATATTCGTGGTGTTCCGACTCCTGGAGTGCACAAATAACTTATATTAATGAACCATGTCATCAAACATCTCGTGTCAAGATTGAAAGTGCTATACTTTAGTAACTGAGTCTATAATGCACTATAACTTCCAACAGAAATAGCTATTGCTCACCTCGAGATCGGTCCTGCACAGCTTATCACCCGGCAAGCTCATCAACAGCCTCAGCAGATCTTCTGAGGTATTCTTGGAAGTGAAGTCCGGACTCATCGCCCTACCAAGCGCGTAGGCCCTATATCGCGGGTCCTTCTGCAGTCCTATGTGGTTGAGTGGGGACGAGCTTTGCATTATGGCGCCTCTGAAAAGCCCTGAAAAATGAGGAATTCAATTTTTTCCACAAGGTCGAAGGTGATATATTTGTTTTGTCTGTCACTTATCATTCATAATTTTGTCGTCTATCACTCGTGATATGTTTACTTGGCACATGTCAAGTGTCACGTGTCAGCAAAGTAGAGGAAGGCTATTACCTGGCTACTCCTACTGAAGGCTACTTCTACTAATCGTTTGTGGCAAGTTTTTCACCTTACTCATAGCATCTCATAGCTACGGCCGGGGAAAATTTCAAGAGTTTATCAGCGACCGATGAAGGCTCATACAGCATAGAGAGAGTGATCTCACAAACATAACCTTCTAGGACATACATAACAAATGTTCACATATCAGAAAGCGACATGAGTGATTGAAAGAAGTGGCCCCGTTGTCATTGTTGAAATTGACTTTCGTAATCGCATACGTATATACAGGGTGAGTCAAAAATGTGTACCGAACTTCCTGGTGGTGATAGTAGGTGTTTTTAGAGGGTGGGTCGTAATTTTGGGAGAGAAACATTATTTTTTCCTCGTATTCTTTATGGTGAAAAAATAGTAACTAGTATTTGATGAAATTTCCTTGAAACGGTAATTTTATCAGAATAAAAAATTGTAGTCATTTTCTAGTTATTCGAGTTTTTGTTGGGACATGATATCAGCACATCAAGTCATCAGTTATAATATTGCAGCAAGCCTCGAATTTCTTGGCCGGGCACCATTATTACTAGGCAAAGATATCGAAGAAGGAAATTATCAATAACAATTTTCTTGTCATATGATCAGAAATGAAATTGATCATGACCTCCTCGAATATTGTTACTGATCAAGTAATCTGATGAATCAAAAGAAAGCAATAAAAATCATCGCTGGTGCTGGCTACGCTGATTCATGTGAACCACTATCTCAAAATCATGACGCTTTACCATCTATTTACATATACCAACTTTTGTTGGATATTCATGAAGATTAAGAAGATTACAGAAAAAATTTTCACCCACACTATTATCCCAACAGAAGCTGTCAATTGATCAGGCCAATCAAATTGTATATATCTAGCAAACATTTTCTGGATGTGAATCTGTACAATGCACCACCTATATGTGTAAAAAATCTCAATCCAAACAACTTTGAAAACATTCGAAAGATTTCTCAATTTCGAATGCCCTCTATTCCATAGAAGAATATATGGCTGCCCTGAGGTCTGGTGCTCAATAATGATACTATCTTTTCCGTATATTTTTTTTATTAAGTACCTAATGATTTCACATAAATGTACATTTTTCAAATATTCATTGTGCAACTTTTTCAATACTTTTCAAATATTAAAGGTTTTATCTGTACCTCATTTTGTACCTCATAACTCGTTACGAACCGTTCAACTAGTGCCCTCTATGAGAGGGATATATAAAAACAAATCAATTCGATGTATGAGCTCGAGCTTGTGCCTTATATATCCATATGAAATTCATTACAATGTTGCCAGAAGTTTCGAGATAATCATGATCAATTTGTGTACACATTTTTTCCAACAAGGCCACTCTTTTTGAAACATTCCGTATATATTTATCCTCACCTTTGGATTTTTCACTGATCACATGACAGCCTACACTGATCGCTCCGGAACTATGACCTACGAGGGTCACCTTCGACGGATCTCCTCCGAAGAGGTGGATGTTCTTTTGCACCCACTTCAAGGACAGGTTCTGGTCTTTCAGACCCAAGTTACCAGGAATGACGCCATCTCCGGTTGTCAGAAAACCTGAAAATCATTCACAAGGTAAACTTGGTCGGAAAATTGGATGAATACATCACAAACTCTTATCATATTGACAAATAATTTATATTTATTGACAATACTCGGTTTCATTGAAAATGCAATTGAGTCATTTATTATACAAGGGAAAGAAGTATCAGCAGATCTGTTTTTATATTCGTGTATTATTTCTTTGACAGGTAAAACGACGATTCAACCCAGTAAACACAAACATCCCTGGGATGTCACATTCATGTCTCGCTATAGGTAACAATGCGAATTACAGGAAAACATCATTGGTATTGCCAGGGGTCTCTTCATTTCACAAAAACCTTCGCAATATAAATTCCATAGGAGTTGAGACTTTTAACTGTGCTTTAAATGTCGGTGAACTTGTGAGGCTCCCCAACAACCAATAAGAGACTCGCTGGAACCTCACATTCTTGTCTTTTTATGTAAAAAACGGAATTGATCAAATGTGATGTTGAATGAGAATTCGCTTGATAGTAAACTATGAGTTTCATTTGGTATCATGATATGAATCGTGGAATTACCAAAAGGGTCTAAAATAGCAGTCTTTGTGATTTCAGTGGGACTCTCAATTCGAGTCACAGATTTGATGTGTGGCATGAATGTGATCAATTTGTGTTAACTGGGAATATTGAGAAGATATTACATCACGATGAAGTCAAAAAATTATCAATGTGGAATTTGAAGTTTTCAACAGGTATAGTACACCTGTGTTGAAAGCATCTTTTTGCGTGCATCTTTATTGTTGCTATGGAAATATTTTGAATCAATCGAATATCTGTCAATTCAATTCTGTTTTGATTATTGAAAATTGCGATGTTATGGTAGATTTATGTAGCAGTTTTAGTTCTTATATTTTGAGTTGTAAGTTTTGAGTCACAAGTATTAAGTAAGGAAAAACTGGTTATTTATACTGCAATCATAACGACTCTCATATCATAAGAAATACATCCCTTTATAGTAGACGTAATGAAAGCTAAAATACAATATCTCCCGAATAAGGGCCCTGGCCCCAATGAGCTCCTGACCAATTTCATTAAAATGAGAGAGTTTGACATTTCCTCTCTATCTCCTGTTCAATAAATCCTTAGATAAAGGGCATTTTCCAAACGCCTCGAAAAAAGCATTCGTTATTCCAATTCATAAATCTGGCCAAAAACAGCTACCTCAGAATTACAGACCAGTGTCCAAATAATGTATATTAGCGGAAGAATTCAGAAGCATTATTTTTGATTATTTGTATCATGATGTCTTGAACATTTTGAATATAAACAACATCATGGATTTATCAGAATGCGCTCTGTTGTAACTAATTTATTTGAATATACTGAATATATTTCAAAAAGCTTGAACAGCCGAATTCAACTAGATGCCGTTTACACCGACTTCAGCGAAGCTTTTGATAAGAACGATCACACATTGCTGGTAAAAAAGTTGACGGATGTTGGTGTGACTGGCTTCCTTCTGAATTGGTTCCGATCTTACGTAAGTAATCGTAATTAGACAGTTTGTATTGGTAATTATCTTTCAAGATCAGTCAATATAACGTCGGGTGTTCCTCAAGGCTCACATCTAGGTCCTCTACTTTCCAATATATATATGAATGACATCTCTGAAATTCTCGTATTTCCTTATGTATGCTGATATGAATATTTCATACAGTTTCACACTTCAATGATTGTATGCTCATTCAAGAGGACCTTGATCGCTTCTCAGAGTACTGCAGAAATGACCCCCTCTTCCTGAATCTCAACAAATGTCATCAGATGACTTTCAGAGGGAATGGAGGATTTGGTAATTATTTTTGATTAAAAAATGACTTTCAATAAACATATTTCTTCCATTTTTAAGGAAGCGAACAGAATGCTAGTCATTTTGAGAACAACATATCTTTTCAAAGATTATGATACCTTGCGTACTCTTTTCATGTCATAGGTGAATAGTCTGCTAGGCTTCGGCTCAATCATTTGGAATCCCCTTTATATAATATACACCAAACAAATAGACAGTATTCAGAATGAATTCATCGCTTATATTAACAAAAAATATTTCAAAAACACGCCACAAAATCACTTCGTAAATCGAAAACTTGATTTGATTAGTCTTGCTGACAGAAGAGCTATCGCCGATATCAAATTCTCTTTAAAAATTATAAATGGAATCATTCATTCCTCATCTATAAATAACTTGATCCATTACAATGTTCCACAATATTCCACTCGCTATTATAACTTGTTTCATACATGCATACCGAACACAAATTGCTATCTCAACTCCCCTTTACATCGATGATTGAAAAGTTATAACTCCATTTCAAACATAATAGAGATATTTTTTCCGACTCTTCAACAATCTTTGTGAACGAACTCAAGAAACATTTTGTTCCAGCATCCAATTGATGAATGCCGTTGGTTAAACAACTCCGGGACCCGATTTCCACATCCATCGTTTTTGAAAAAACGCTCGATGATCTCCACTCTGTCTGCAATTGAATACACCATAATAATAAATTCTAAAGTCAACAATTCGTGAACCCTCCAACCACGACATGTATCTAGCAACTACTTGACCTAATTCAAACGTGAAGAAATCAATCCTATTCATTTTTTATTCTCTAAAATGAGCCTGAACAAATCTGTGCATCGGCAAAAACAGCAAATCGGCATAAACAGCGAATTCATTTGAAGGAACTTTTCGCAATGAAGTACAATTGAACAGATTTTTGTATTTTTCGTCCCACATGATGGTTGGAGTTTCAACGCTCCATATTTTCTGAAAGAGTAGATCGATCTGAAAAATCTCAGCAGCACTGTATAGAGAATGACAAGCCCCTTCTCAAGAGGTATCGCTTGACCACCCTTTCCATTTGAAAAAAATTGTGGGGTGACACCCCTTCTTAGGGGGTTGAAGGTTTCACTATGCTTGTTACGTCAAAATGTGTCTCCCTGACAAACAAACTTGACCTGTTTTCGGATTTTATCGAAAAGTTCTTTCCCAGCCTGTAATGCCTTGCGGTACGTTTTCGATGAGCCAACCTGTACATGTTTAATTGTTTTTTTCTCTCTATCATTCAGCAATCACAAAATAAATATTTGTTTTGGAACAAATGTAAACAAAACCAAGATTACATATAGTTGCGCACGGTTAATGCTTACAGAGAATTAGTCATTATGTCGTAAGTCCTAAGAGATGAATGTTGGCCAATCTTCTTCACATCTTCGAAATCAGGACTGCTCATGACACGTATATAAACGTTTATATTTAAAAGCAATGACTAAACTTCCTGAGACTCATGACCTAATACTTACGACTTGAAACTTAAGACTTTAAGCTGTTGCATAAATCCACCATTAGTGGTTGTTTAGTAATTTACGTAACTGCGAAGTGGAATGGAAGATAAAAGGACTTGCAGTTCTTTCTCGGAGACGGTGTTATTGGCTTATTTTTCGGGAACTGGCACGACAAAAGCCCTCAACAGTGCTCCTTTATATCCGGAAAAAAAGTATTCGCTGATTTTCCTGTGACGCAAATTGAATTATGTACAGTGTGTCTAGTTTTCGATGCTTTCACCTGATATCTCAATTATCTTTGGAGATGGAGCCTTGCGTTTTTTTCGGTCTTGTGTCACTTCTTGTGAAACTCAATATGGCTCAATCAGAATTTGCATAACTGTTTCCGTTTATGAGATACAAGGCTATTTTGGGTTTTTTCCCTTTTCGGGCCCCCTCTGTATCTACAAAGTTTCTCAGCGAAAATGTCGAATTGAAATTTGATCTGATTTCGTTTTTCGTCAGTAAATCCGAAACGGTTAATTGGACAGCTGTCAAATTGTCACATTATCCGGACACTTTTTTAAGACGAATAAGATAGCATGTATAACATGTCACGATCGTATTTTGTTATCCGCAAGCCGCCTCAACTTTCATTTTTCTTATGGCCGCCATATTGGAATTTCCGATATTTGATTGATTTTTTCTAAGGAGGCCATGATTTACTTGACAGAAAATAACACGCATGAAGAAACTCATAAACGCATTGAGATTTCAATAAAACATGAACGTTAATAACGACTTCTCAGATATTTTGGGACCAATTCCCAACTATTGGTGTTGTCAGAAAAATCATCGTCATTAACAATTGAACCTTTGAACAACCTACAATTAGATACAAATCGAAAATGAAAATCGCAACAGAAATATTTTACAAGTTGTAATGTGATGTCATGTGAAGTAAAATATAATTATGTTCCTATCTGCTTTTTGAATGATTGTTGATTTACAAATTTGCAAAATGACGTCCATTTGCATCGAGACATTTTTGACAATTGGTGACTGTTGCTCTTACAACCCTAGCAAGTGTTTTCCCGTCAATATTTCCAAATGTGGAACTCTTTGTCTCAGGATTTCTATGGTCGCGGGAGGATCAAATTCATAGACCTCATTCTTTGTGTGACCCCGGAGGTAGAAATCCAAAGGTGAGAGGTCAGGGGATCTCGGGGGCCGAGATATTGGACCATTTAAAGAAACAATTCTTTAGTCAAATTGCTCTCTTAAGAAGTTCCTGACTTGAATGGTGTTGTGAGCCGGACATCCATCCTGTTGAAACCAGGTTATTCTAAACTCATCTTCGGTTATAGTAGCCAGTGGGCCAGGTAGCCGTGCGGACAGAGTGTCTATATTCTAATTCGCATTCGCTTGCCGGTCGTGGGTTCGATCCCCGTCGACTGCAGAAATTTTCCTGATGGCCCAAGAAAGTGTTTGGGATCACACGTTAAAAGGTAAGGCCCCCGTCATTCCTTGCTCGCACAAGACTTTCGAAGACTTTTGAGGGTTGCTCGTAAGGGAGCAACCGAATGACGGATAGAACAAATTTTAGAACAAAAAATTTTTTAGCTCGTGAAGCCGGCACAACCTGATTTCGCAAAAGCTCTAGGTACCTCTGTCCGTTCAGGTTGTATTCAAACACAAATGGTCCGATAAGTCGATTTCCTGAAATGATTAATAATGATTCATAACAGGTGCCCAATTGGAGAAGCTAAGTCAGATCAAATTACCAATGACCCCACACCAAAAGTTACTTTCAAATCTAGTCTGTAGACGTCTCTCTGCCATTTCGTGAGGGTTTGGTTTTTCACAGCCCAATGATGAGTGTTGTGCTTATAGAAAACCCCACAATTCGTGAACCTACTCTCATCGGACGACAAGACATGATTTACAAAATCGGGATTTTCATTACACTTCCTAGTATACCACTCACAGAAGCGCATTCGTCTTGGAAAATCAGTTTCCTAAAGTCCTTGAACTATTGTGGGTTTGTATGGATGGTACTTATTCTTATTCAAAACTCTCTGTACCGTTGATTTTGACACACCAATTTCCCGTTCTACAGTTCGTACCGATGCTCTGGAATTTTCGTTGACAGTTTGTGAAATGTTTCTGTCGCGATTTTCATTCTCAATATTGTATCTACTTCTAGGTTGTTCGAAGGCCCCATGGTTAATTGAATCAACTACGATTTTTATAATTTGGGTTTTATGAGGCTGCCGTCGTTCGGGGTACATCTCCAAATACCTTGCTGAAGTAATGTTGGCGTTTCTGCGTGACTGCAAGTACAGCGCTAACATGTCAAACTTTTCTTCATTTGAATAGGGAATACCGGCCATCTTCAACAAATTAGGACAATTTATGTGTCAGATTACAAGTACTCTTTATAAAGACACAACTTTGACGTTTTTAACTATTCGATGTCAAACTCAGAGCATCCTTAGATGGAAAAAGTGTTACTTATAGAAACCCAATTTTCTGACAAGTAAATCATGGCCTCCTTAGAAAAAATCAAGACCTAACTTTACGAAGTGTGATATTTCTATGAAACTCCAAACGTTTATGCACTTGTGAGACATCACTAGACTGGAAATTTCACGCTTTTTCAAAAAATCGAAAATTTCAATATGGCGGCCTAAGAAAAATGAAAGTTGAGGCGGCTTGCGGGATAACAAAATACGATCGTGACATGTCATACATGCTATCTCATTCGTCCTAAGAAAGTGTCCAGATAATGTGACATTTTGACAGCTGTCAAATTAACCGTTTCGGATTAACTGGCGAAGATCGAAATCCGTCATTTTCGGTTTTTCGCCGATATTTCCAAAACCAATTATCCGATCGTGAATCTGAAGCCGGTTATCGAATGCACTAAGATTTCTCTGAAACTTTCCCCAATTAGCCTCTGCTGTAAGTATAATAGGAACCGAGATCCCTGTATAGAGAAGCAAATCTGGGACACACTGTATGTCATGAGGAACTGTACATACTCCTACCACGAATAGAGGCTCCTGAGGGGACTACCGAGTGTCCATCAGGAAGTGTCTTCTGAACTTTTTTCCAATATATAGGGTAAATCATGAGATTTTGTAAACACATCTTTAGGTCAAAACTTTCCAACAGCTCCTTCGAATGGTCTGAGTTTTTCATGGAATATTCCGCAACTACTCTCTAATCGACTGACCTATTTAACATCGAGAAATTCCAGGACCATTCTTGCAAAATTTTGATAGTTCAGTTTATAGCAAAAAGTTCATCCTGTATATCGTTTTTGTAAACTAGGGCAGGAAATTTTCAAGAGTCACAAAATAACATCATAAATAAAACATTTCAAATTTGCATACTTTCATTGCAGTTTGAGAAAAACTTGAAATTTTATGAAGGAACGACATTTTTTTTTACGGATAGAAGTGAAACTTACATTATCAATGCTTCAGCTCAATGAAAATCAACAAATTAGTTTATTTCCACCCTGTAGATCTTTTCAGAATCAGTGGATGAGGTCATCGCTTCCAATCGATATAAATAATTTCATGATTTCAATTCACAGTTTTATCTATTCGATTCCACATCAAAAGGAATGACGAAATCTATGCCTAGAAATTAAAGCACATGTTGATTTCCAACGGACATTGAAAATGTGAGTCTTACTTTTATTAATAAAATGTATGCGCTGCGATGTAATTATTTTCTAAAGAATTGAATTTGTTGACAAACTTTTGTTTTTGCTTATAATTTATAGTTTTTTGTGTGAGGAGAATTCCGAATATTTTATTTCTGATGTTTGCTTATGTGCTTTGGAAATTTCCTATCACAGTTCACAGAAACCATATACAGGATGAACTTTTTGTTAAAAACTAAACTATCGAATTTTTGTGAAAACGATCTTGGATTTTTTCGATTCCGAAGATGTCAGTCAATTGAGGTTAGGTAGAGGAATATTCCATGGAAAAATTGGCCGAATCGAAGGAGCTGATCAAAAGTAATGACCAAAAGATGTTTTTGCCAAATCTCATAATTCACCCTATATATTGATGATGAAGAGAAAAAAACACTTTCGGATGGTCATTAGGTATTCCCCTCAAGGGCCTCTATTCGTGGTAGGAGTATGTACAGTTCCTCATGACTCACCCTGTATAAATAATATATTTATGTTTTCAGTATCAAGGATTCGAAAAATAATAGAATCGTTAAGTGAATATTCCACAGGGCATGAATGAATAGCACTCTGCTACATTAAATTTCGAGTGATCCCATATGGTCCAAATTGCTCTTCAAGTTTTCACATTTCGTATTATGGTATTTGATGTCATATCTCGGAATGTTTTTTTTTTCATTTCCATTGATATATCATCATAATGTTCTGGTAATATGATTTTTTTAAAGTAAAATGTCACAAAAATAGTGTGTTTCATATCCAAAAATTTTTACAGAAATATTTTCACGGTTATGTGACCCAAAAGAATTGAAAACCAATTTATAGTTGTAAATGAACATGGCAATGCGTGCCATGTTAAGGGTCTTTGATCGTATATCTTAATCGCTTGGATGATCACATATATAATCTCTCTCTTCATAATCCTGAAGAGTGATGTGATTACTTGAAACAGTTTCGATTTTTTTTGCAATCAGGTTGAAGTTTTCTAACTGGTATATTTTCTTGATGATATCTCTGTGAATGAGAATTAGGGATGAATTTTCAATTCTCCTATATCCCAGCATCGATCAGAATATTCTTCTCGTTCTGAGAATTCTATCTTCTTCATCTTTCTTTATTCTTCATCCACATTATCAAAATAATAATAATATCATTTTCTAATCCAAAACACTGTCAGATGAACCAGAATACAGGGTGATTCACAAAAGCCGCTTGAAAATGAGCTTTCAGAATATCTCTACTTTCAGTAGTATCTTATCAGTTACCCTTCGCCTCAGGGCGTCATTCCTAGACCGATGTTCCTATGAATTCATCCTACTATTATCATTCCTAGAATCTGTAGTTGACATTTTTTTATGAAATTCCGGAACACTCTGTATAGTGAGCAATTCCAACTCGAAGATTTTTCATTTGTGTTTAGGATTCTTGTAGATATACTAACCTAAGGCCCCGGCTCGATAGTTCATGGTTACCACTACTATATCCTCTTCTAAGAATAAGCTGAAATCATATTCTGAAGGATCTCCACTCTGGAACATCCCTCCATATATATAAACAGCTACTGGCAAGGCAGTGACCTCTCCGCCATCTGGCAACTAAAATCATTATCCATCTCCTAAATAATTGATCATAAGAGAACTCCAAGATTTGAGAAACATATGAAAATATTGAGAAGGAATATTCTCAGATATGTTAATAATATGTAAAAATGTATAAGGAATACATTGAGAATTCGCATTCTGTATGTAATGAATATATCAACTCTTTATCGGTAGGTATATTCAACAGATAACAACTACTTTCCTGGCTAAATGCCACAACATACATTGAATTATAATTATTGAACATACATGATAAGAATCTGAGGCAAAAATCTTGTTGCATTCTAATTCAGATATAAATATACATGCACATGATATTATTCTGAATACAACTACTGTCCTGGCTATTTGCCATCTCGAACATTGAATTATATCTGTTGAACACCCAAAAGGAGAACATGAAAATGAAAATCCTTCGAAATTGAGAATTGAACATCCTCTTTTGAATCGCATATATACTATGATTCATATAATGATATAAAAATATAACACCATTGAAATGAAAATTGGAATGTATGAACTCTGATCATGATGAGCTTGAAATTTCCAAAAATCATCCGTAATAGTGATGTGGGAATATTATCTCCTACGAATAGGTTGAAAGACTTTATTCGAATGAACTCAATTCGGGTATCGAACCCTCCGCAGTAACCCGAAGTCTAGTTATTCTTCCAGCCATTCGTTATGAGATACGCAATTTCCATTTCTCTATCATATAACTAAAACTATAACAAACTGACATCTGAGAATCATTTGTTGAAATTCAATTTCTGTTAGGTATCTGAAAATTTTGTTCGGATTCATGACAAATTGATATGCGTCACAGAGGGCGTGAAAATAAATCCTGAATTGGGAAAAACCAATCACGAATCTGTGATTAGAGGTCTATAATAATAATTAGTTTTCATCGTTCATGTTCGAACCCCTCGATTGAGTATAAAATGATTGACAAGAAATATGCTCAGATATATCATGAACATTATAAAGTAATATATACAGGATTTCATAGAATGAAGTACATTGCATAGTCCTACACAATAGAGGTCACTTAAATGAGAAAAATGTTTCCATGAACACGGGTCCGCAAGGCCTGTATCTTTCAACCGAAGGCCTTGCGGACCCGTTTTCAAGGAAACTTGTTTCATGATTTCAGTATCCTCTATCGTGTGGCACTATGCAATGTACTTTTCTCGTTGTCACCCTGTATATATGAAGAAATACATAGAGAATTCGCTTTCTGTACGTGATGGAAATATTGAATCTTTCTCGGAATATTCAACAGAAAACAAGTACTTTCCTGGCAATATGTCACGACGAACATTGAATTGAATCTATTGAACACACTCGATATGAATTTGAAAATGAGATCTTCTGAAGTTGACAATTTGTATTCTCCTCCAGATTAGAATATATGTATGCACATGATATCCTTCTGAATATTCAACAGAAAACGACTCCAAAAGATTTTATATTCATATTCTGTTCGAGTGTGTTTAATAAATAAGATTCAACGTTCGTCGTGGCACATAGGGGAGTAGTTGTTTTTTTGTCGAATACACCGAGAAAGAATTAATATTTCCATCACAGAGAGAATGCGAATTCTCAATTGTGAATTGTGGATTTCAACACTTGCTAGCGGTTAATTTTAGAAAAATCTATAAGGCACATTCGTCAAAAACTTGTTGGCAACTTGAGGCAACTGGAAACTAAAATACGGGTTTGTTAATTTGAACGAATAGTGGAAACATACTAGAATAATGCCTATCAGTATTCATCTTTGGCGATACGGCAACAATATTCATTCCACATTTTCGTTAATTTGCTCCAGAGGCATCAGAGAAACCAAAACATATTTTCATAACCTCCATTATTGGGCCGAAGGGAACCCCCGTTTGAACAAGAAAAACTTGTTTCAAATGGAAGTTTTTTGTGAATATCTGGATGAGACTTATTGATATTTGATAGGACAAAATTTTTTTCCTAGCAAATTTGAACTGGAGAAAGTATGAACATTTTCCACGGCATGATCTACAGGAGCTTCTTGAGGATGTTTCTCTCGCCATCAGAGGACGAATGATATTCCTACGAGACGGTTGTCCAGCGCATTATCAGTAAATACTGATAGAATTTTTTCGAGTATCTATACATCTTTACTATTCATTTGAAATAACAAACCCGTATCGGGTACCTAGTTGAATAGCTATTGCCTCAAGGAAGTTCAAACAAAATTTTAACGAATGTGGTTTACAGATTTACTGAAAATAACCGCTAAAAAGTGTGAAATCTACAATTCACCAACAAAAATAAGACTTATTATTAACAATTTACCTATGAACTAGATTATTTCTGTAATTCTTTCATTCCAAACATGAGACCATAGTATTGATCATGTATTCAAGTAGAGAGGTTGGAAAAATGTACAGCAGATTTTTGTAAAATTAACTTTTAAACCCTGAAAGTCTACCTTTTGGAGAAAAACAGAAAAAATTAGATATCTCAAGAACTGTCAACCTTTGCATAATGCATATTAGGGTTAAATTCACTCCTCATCACCTCTCCTATCACATCTCCAGAGGAATGTATCAAATTACCAGTATCCCTGTATATATAAATTCCTTTATATTCTTAACATATTATGCGAATATGCGGCGGCACTTATGCGCACGAATAGACTGACCTGAGGACAGAAGGTACTATACCGGGTGTTTCAAATCGATCCTTACCATTGGTATCTCAGAAACTACAGAAGTTAACTAACAATATGCCGTTTCGAAAGTTTCAAAATTGAAGTATGTCCTTCGATATCTGCAAAAAACAGAGATCTTGGAAAATTGGTTCTACTTTTTTCTGGTTCTATTTATTGTTGGATTTCAAAATGAGTCGCACTTCTGCATTGTCATTCTCACTTCACTACGTCATGGTGCTTTCAGAAGAAATTTAATATGGCGCCGGAAGAGAAACATCGGTTAGCAATTCTGAAAGTACCATCAAGTAGTACAAAAAAAAATGACAAATCAAAAGTGCGATTGATTTCGGAATCCTACAAATTTCGTTTTTTTTTAGATATCTCCAGACATAACTGGATTTATGAAACTTCCTAAGCCGCATATTGATAGTTAGGTGAATGCGCAACTCTGTCCCAACTCAACCATCTTGTAACTACTAATGAAATGACATTGAGAACGAACAAAACACAATGCAGAAGGAGGATTTCCTGCCAATAATTGAAATCATAATATATTTTTTTCTTCCATAATACTGAACTCCTGAATATGGCTGAATTTTAAATATCCCTATAATTTCTTATGGTAATTCGTTGAAGGCCTTTATTGATTTGTAATGTGTAGTTTTTTAGGAAAAAGCGGTTGAATGTTGTGTAATATTAGGATTATAGTATATTACGTAATATGTGTTGTGCGGAGCGGCGAGTGCGTGATTCCATGAGTGCGTAATTGCTTTACAACACGCATTCCGTATTATACTTCACCTACTGCCATATGGTACACCAAAGAAGTTTGTACAAAAAGTCTGAATTATAATTCTTGACAGTTATGTCATCCGCTGTTTACGGCGATTACGCTATCATGCCATACCTATTATACTGGCGGAATATACGAAAACTGTGCGATGTGCTTATACTGTGCGTAAAGAGCTACTTACTGAGGCTGTATCTCGTGTGTTCTTGCCTACTTCTCATAGTGACCGTAGGTAAAATCTATAACGTGTTATCTTGTCCATATGTGCATTGATCTGAGTATTTCTCAAACAAATAATTATGTTTTTTCACACATACTACCAGTGATAGATAATATAATGAGAGTACAGTCAGCACCCCATGTTGAAGAGTGCACCTCAGGATATGTTTTTGTAATATGAATATATTGTCAACATGAGAACCTGAACCCCACAACAATAGTCCATAGGAAATATCAGATTGCACATGCGCAAAATAATGAAGTTTTATGCTGTTAAACTGATACATGTTCTCTTAGGTACCGTATGACCCCACAAATTGAGGCTAATTAGGAGGCTGAGCTATTTATATGGTTGTATCAGCTCGAGCTATAGTCAATAATCATGCCCAAAAATTCGATTGACTGTAGTACGAGAATAGATCTATGTTCAAGTTTGACAGCTGGTGATTGGATAGTGTTCCTGGTTGAATTAAAAGTTAAAAGTGATATCTCTATTACATGGGATTCTAACATATTAGTTATATAACATATTCGTTACTATGATCATGTTTATACAATATCTTGAAAATTATGTCAATTATATATGACTTTATCCACAACAAATTCATCTTCAACAAGCAAAAGTGACAACGACCCATCTGATGATGATTTTGTGTTATTGATCCTTGATCAGCGAGTTGAGCTATAGTGCCTTGATAATCGAGCTATCCAAGTTTTCCGAAATTTGATTGGAACGTGGATTAGTCTATTTTGATGAGTTGAATAATATGTTTGACGCATGTTTTTCTACATATAACAAAAAAACAAGGTCCGCAAGGTAGATGATGGTCGTTCACTGAATTCATCAGCAATTCAAGATAATTGTTTCAATAGGTATTAACAAGTCGAAATATTGAAGAGAATCTGAGACATACGATTTAATTAATGTTTAATATCATTGTTTCAGTTCACCAATATGAAATCCTTAGGCAGTAGTGTGATAAGAAGATCCATTAGGTATCTAATAATTTCAAAAGATGCTTCGTAGCAACTATCCCAATCGAATTTCGATTCCAAGTATTACAATAGTTCTCGTAATAGTATGACCAAACAGGGAATATAAAAGTGGCAGACTCAACCTCTAAGAACATCATACTGTAAGTTGGTAAAATTTCACTTTTTATGATGTATTTTCAGTTCAATAAAGTATTGATTAGTCTATTCATTCTTCTCTACTTATATTCACGAAAGTATTATAGTTATCTTTCAAGTGAGACATAAATGTTTATGAATCTAGATTCTGACGTCACATTGATGTAATATCAATATAACTAGTATAACATAGGAGTGATGTAACGTGATGCGGACATAATGCACAGTCAACTCATGAATGATCAACGAAATTATGTAATGTTTATGCGTTAGTTATGAAAATTTGTTTTGTGGGTCGTATCTTTTATGGTTTCTGAGATCCCAATGGTGGGGATCGAATTTGAATCAGCCGGTATAGAGGCGGTGGAGAAAGGATTTTAATAATGGGGATAGGGTCAAGAGTGTCGCGGAGATTGAGAGGCCCAGGTTATAAGGGTTGATATTCCATCCAAACTCTTTGTGAGGAAGAGAACAATAATTCTACGCACCTCTTGAAAGAAAAACCAATAATCTCACCTGTGGAGTGAAGACATTCAAATACAAACAATCTTCATTTTCTCTCGGGTCAGGGGTTTGATCATCAAATATCGGCATTTTTTGTAAACATAGTTTCGTATTCTTCGTTGTGTCTAATATTCCATCCCATGGTTTTGGATCTACTGCTTCCTTGAATAAATCCATATGAGAACGTTGGTTATTTGGCAGAATAGTTATGAATTCTCCATCTTATAATGAAGAATCAGAAGGCTATCGCATATCAAAAATAGCGGAATGTACAAAAGGGTTCATTTGATTTTCGTTTCATCACACTCCTAATAGACATACAGTATGTCTGGCAAAGTAGGCATCAAATTGAAAACCTATTCGTTTATAGGCGTCATTTAGATAGAACAAGGTGAGCAAATGCCTTCTTCCCTGGTTTTCTTTTCTTTTTCAAGTTCTGGTTTTCTAAGAAAAATAATTCAATAATGAATCTTCCTGTACCAATGACGAGAACTGAAGCAGATTAGTACTTTTAATTGAAAAATGTCTATCATTCCAAGATGTTCGATATGTCATCATACTACATAGGAAAGTTGATAACAGAATTTCCTTAATTATTGTATAAACTGCCGCCTCCGTCCATTTGAAAATTTCAAGGAGCGCTATTAACAGATTATTTTATCTATAGTCCAGGTTCTACTTTCACATGGAATAAATGATATGACAATATTGAAATGAAGTATGGAATCTCTGAATAATTTCGCAAAATTGAGAAATGAGTCAGTATTCCTTGCTTGATAGAAATTATTCAACACTACTCAACCAATGATTTACATCACTTCAACCTCATTCAGATATTTATTGATCTATTCGTATTTATTTGAAGTTCCTTTATGTTCGTTATCAAAATACTTCTCATCTCCCTACACTCTATTGGATTTCCTCTCCTAGTTTCTGAAAATGAAAAATACAATTGAACAAAAATGTCCCTGCGTTCAAAATATGTTACTTTCATGAAACTGAGAGAGAAACTTTTTCTTGCTCTCTCAATTGTCATATACATTTTTCATGATGTTTTAGCAATTATAACACAATAAGAAAATGAAATTGAGAAAGATGTGATATGTGATATAATGAAGTTGTCACTCTGGAAAAATTCGAATTCCCTATTGGAAAGCATTTGATATTGAACAAAAAAAAAATAGTATACTCTGGAATCACGCCCTGGTATTCATCATCAAATTTGGAAAAGAACGAACTAATTATATATGAAAAGTTTTGCAACACATATAACCAACTTTGAAAAGTATTATGAATAATGTTGAGTTCAATTGAAAACTACGATCAAATATTCATCATTTTCCACAATCCCTGATTGATTCATTGATTTTAGGTTGAATAGACGTTCTTCATGAAGAGTTCCTCTAGGTCTTTATACCATAGCTGCACATTTTAGATATCGAATTTTACGCTCGTTTGTCAAAAACATCTTTCGGTTTCAGACCCTGCAGAAATCTTTGAAAGGAATATTTTTCCCTCAACTCAAACAGTTTTCATATTTTCAGACTTACTGTATATTATACTCAGTAATAAAATGTAATTGCTTCCTGTGTATAATAAACAATTTTTTTCTGTGACGAGAAGAACTAAGAACTACGGTTTTGGTACCTTCTGAAATAATATTCAATTTTCTTAATTAAGAGAGATGGCCTTCTGATTGTTCAATTCTTTGTGATCTCACCTTGTACCTTAATTCGCCGACTGGTGGCGCTGCGTACGGCACTTCTTGAAAGGCGAAAAACTCACGCCCACCTTTTGTCACCGATATGTGGCCTTGAATTTTTCCCTCTGGCAGCTGAACCACCAGGTTATTCTGTAAGGAAGATATTTTTTGATGAAATTCAACTACATATACAGGGTGTATCATGAGTACAGAAAAATATTTGAGGGACGTATTCCTGAGACGGTTTTGGGAAACAAAATCATCCAAAATTGTGTCCGAGAATGCTTCATTTCGAGAACAGACTTTTTTTAGCGACCTAGGATTCCCAGCCAGAATATTTCAAAGTTTCAAAGCATCGGCTGGTCATAGTCCTGCACGATTCGCTGTTGCGTTCCAATTAACAGTGTTACTCCTAAAGTGGCGCATGGAGTTAGTAACAAAGCCTACAAAAACACGCAGAAAGCGATGTTGATGTGGTTGTGAGCATCAGAGGAGCTGATGGACGCGGTCCTGAAAAGGATGTTAGCCAGCTCTTTTAAGCGAACCACATCACTCATTATTAACACCTTGGGGCTTGCAAAAAGGTCCCATTAGGGACTAGTTGCTGACGTGCAAACGTCCCTCATCTTTTCACTTGGAAAAGGTGTGGGAATAAGGTTTTTCCATAAAAGACCTAGAGTTCATTGTCAAAAATGTTAGGGCAGCTTGAAATAAATAATGACAGCGTACGCAGAGCCCTCTAGATGTTGCATGAGAATTATTACTTAATTATGATTTTCCACATCAAAAAACCTTGGGTAAGAAATTTCGAGACAAAATTCGTTATTTGCGGAAGTTATTAAAAAAAATCGAACAAAAAAATCTTTTCCACTCGAATATATCAACATACCTATGTTGTATACTATGTACAGGCTGTCTCCTTATATTTTGACCCCTACCTACAGCTTCAACTGTACTAGGTAGAAAGTAACTTCAAGTTTAAAAGTTGTATAGGGTTGTTTCACCTGTACTATCTTTTATAAACAAATGTGAATCGGAAAATAGAAAAAAAAATCTACAAGAGTTTTTTCTTAATTGAGCACCCTGTATATTGTCAACTTCTGTAGAAGATTATTTTCTTATATTCACCAATATATATATATAGTGTGACAATTTTCCCTGAAACCGTTCTCTACCAAATTCATCATGCACTAATGAAATTTTCGCAATATTCTAAAACTATAATCTTTTTTGTTGAAAAACTGACAGAAATCTCAAAAAAAGCTCGTTCTGTTTCCATGGCATTCATGTGTTTGTTATTGGCAATTTTGATTCAATACTACTTAATAAGTGAAAAAGGGCTTGAGGAAACATCAGCGAGATACTATACCGGGTATAACAGAATCATGGTATACAGAACCATTTTGAATAACTCAACTTAGTAATAAATCAAGAAACACAATTCTGACAAGATACAATTCTTTTTTAGAATTACACCTGTCGATATGAGTACATCAGACTCGAACAAAATAGTCATGGCACATGAAGTTTGAAATATCCTTCATGTGGTATCATTGGATCCAGAGAAGAATGCAGAATTCGAAAATGTAATGACATAAAAGGTGTTCTTTCAGAACATCGAGAGTTATTTTCACTTCCTGTGAAACCGGAAGTGCAAAACAAAACATGTTGAGGTCAAAACATGTCGTTTATCAAGTTGATGGGTCATTTCAAATTCCGATCATTCATCTTCAAAACTAAAGGAGAAAAAAGGGGTGAACCATCATCCTGTTACAATTGTAATTAACCAGGTGTCCCAACTCTATATTTGTACACGCATTTTCTCGGGAACAGATGACATTGGCAACGTTCTGAAGAAACTGGCTCGAATGAGGAAGAGGTTTGCACAAAAATTAGTCATCAAAACTACCCCTCGATAAACCACCTAGCACATACCATTAACTTTTTTTCCAATCACACCCCCATATCATTATGGCATGTGTGAGTAGCTAATTAGCTTACGATCACGATGATATCTCCAACCGCACAAATGAGGTGAAAATATCTCAAGCTCTCAACGAAATAACACATAATGAAGCAGAATAAGGCGTATACTGGTTTAGAAATCCAACCAGATCTGTGAAACAGTTACAGTCTTATTCACCCGAAACTATAAACATCTTGCTGGTATCATGACTAGAAAATATATCACAATTATCAGTCGATTGAAATATGGACATGGATGTTTCCCTTCAAATTTATTCAAAATAAACATACTGCCTCCTAATCTCTGCACAGAATGCAATGTTGACGGACATTTGGACCAAATATTTTGCGAATGTACAAAAAATCGCCCATTTTCGAATGAATTATACGACAAAGCAAATTATGATGTTTGGCTACCACACGAGCGCATAGCACGAGTGTGGTTGCGATAATCATCGATACACTTGTTGTATTACATACGATGATCTCTGCAGTGGTGCCGAACAATGGACTCGCTCGAAGGAGGTGCTAACTCGATACGAAGCGTATGGCAACATCGCCGTTCTCTTCGTTGAAATGCCTATGCACAGAAGGCCCACTGTTATCCCTATAGGATTATTCTTGCCAGGCGTGTATATTGGAGAATATATTAGCTCACTACATATCTGAATAGTAAGTCTAGAGGATACAAGGCATCGTAGCTGATTCAGTCAGAGTCGATCAAAATATTCTCCGACTGTTTTAATACGCAATAACCTATATTTCCATGACCGACTTGTTTGGCACCATCATTAAAGTATATCACATACCAAGGTGAAATATAGTTGACCCCGGCGATTCTCGTTTTGATCAACTCGGAACTCATGTATCGAAAGTTTACCAACTTTTTCGCTGAAGTTCGTATAGAAATAACGCTCAAGAAGTAGTATCAAGATGCCAGGCGTGAACTTTTCGAATCAAAAAGATAGGTTTGGTTCACATAGTACAATATATCGAGTGATTGAAAGAATCTATAGGGAAATATTTTTTTCTACAAGCGTGCGTGTTTCACCCTATACCCGCACGCAATTTAATTTCGGAAGTGTCATTTTCCCGGAACAATGCGGGAAAATTTTCCCGCACTAGTGCGGGAAAACAGAGATATGATCACTAGTAATGTAAGTGGTTGGTGATGGAATATAAAAGTTTAAGTTTGTTTGTTGCAGTATTAAGTATGTATGTTCAGAATCATCCATCAAATTGCACTATTTATTGTAAAAATTAAGAAATATTGAGAAATGAAAATTGATTATTATAAAAATCCCCCTATAGATTTGGATTGATCTGACAGGAAACGTCAATTTCTCATGCCAATCAAACCTCAAATAAGTTTGAAATTGTCGAAGTGACAGACACAGCGTTACTGTCATTTTCGATTCAGTGGAAATGCCACAATGTGATCAAAAACTTCTAACTATAGGGATTTGATACAGATGCGTTATCACCAACGAAGTCTTAAGAAAGGTATGAGATGCTATACACGCGTTTTATTGAATGGTGCAACAATAAAAAAAAGAAAAAACCGAATGAAGAATAGATATTTTTGGCTCATATTTTCATAGAAGTGTCTGGAACCTAGAGACCAAACTCCTAATGGGCCTGCTGGCTTCCGCAATAAACCAACATAATGCGTCAAACTGTTAGTTCACAATAACTATTACTAATAATTAATAGATAGAGAATATATATATCTCTTGTTAGTTGTTTCTATTTGCTTGAATAATTAATTGAACGATTCAATCAATTTCCTACGCTTGTAGAAAAAATATTGTTCCTAACTCATGCGGAAAGTTTCTTTCCCGCACTCGACTGCTTGCCCGAACTCCGCTTCGCGTCGTTCGTGTCAACGGCAGTCACGTGCGGGAAAGAATCACTTTCCGCACTTGTTAGGAAAATTACTATTTCAGGGGTCGAGCCCTTTTTTTCTTCATAAACTTTCTTGTAGTGCACCACTGCTAGATATGGAAATACGAAATGAGCCCATTGTTTCGTAAGTGAATTTTTTTGTCCACTGTCGTGGATCGTTCTCAAGAGAGAATCATTTCTTGTAATTCGCTAGATATACTGAATCAATATTTGCAAAAAAAGGAAGGAACCTTTTATCACAATTGAAACAAAACACGCTTCATATTTAGTTTGTGATCTTGATTACATGCAAGTTTCCAAACATGATCTAAAAACTAAGAAACTTAACAAACCTTGATTTTTTATAAAAGGTGTTGGAAAATAAAAACTTCAACGATCTGTATATATAGGAATAACGAAGCATTTGCGGACACACACTTTCAGGAAAAAAAAATCTTATTTCGAACTTGAAAATGAGTCCCTGAATTATTGATACGGATTGAGTTTGCTTTGATATATAAGGTATAGAATAGATATGGTCACCGAAAACATATGAATACTTCACACATGAACTTCAATATGAATCACCCCCTTAGTACTTTCAATTTCAAATTCTGCCTGCTAAAAATTGATTTCCAATTGAATAATGAATATTTTTTTATCAATGTTCTGTTTCCCACGAAAAGGGATATCCTGTAATGTTCAGAGAACATCGTGAGAACCAAGGAAAATGAGGAAGGAATTGGTGTTCTTCTTGAATTTCTGGAGGTTATATGCCTCGGGGAACACCTTTATTGGCAATGTGTTTCAGAGCCTCGCTGTTCGTTGGATGAACGAGTCTTTGGAAAGAGATGTACTGCAAGTCTCCAAAGTGACGACGAAGTGGTGCGAAGCCTCAACTCGACGGGTTAATCTCGCGGGAACTGCCGAGGGAGAAACAATGATGATAGTTCAGAAGAGCATCGTCCATGAGGATAGCTTTGAAATAGAGCAAAATCGCCAACTTTTCTTCGGTGTTCCAGAGAAGTGAGTGAGTTTGTGAGCGAGGCATCACCCACGAGACACGAGTTGCCCCTTTTTGGACAGAATCCAACAGTTTCAGGGTATGTTTGGGAGCTGCACTCCAAATATGGGAACAGTATTTCAGGACAAGTTGGATCTGTGCCTTATAGATCATGAGCGGCTGACTGGAAATGAAATAGCGCCTGGCCCGTAACAAAAAACTAAGTTTTTGGGATGCACTTCTAACAATTGATCTCACGTGATTTTCCCAAGGAAAGTTATTGCTGATAGTAATACCAAGCATCGAAATGAATGTCTTCAGAGGGATGGTTACTCTTGACAAGCTCATGTTGGGCACGGTGAGATCGGCGTTTCTAGAGAGAGGAATGCTTGTGTTTTGTTTGAATTGAAATTTACGAAGTTAAATGGTGTCACTATGAACGAGAAGGTGAATCAGAATAATTTGTATCGAAATATTTCCGATTCATTTCATGCTGGAAATATTAATATACCTTCAGCCTCCAAATACTTTCATGTCATGCTCATTGAACTCCAAGTATATGAGCTGGAATGCGAATCCTCAAACGAACTGAAAAAGTGTATTTCTCTAAACATCGAAGTGTTTCATATTGATGATATTTTATTGGATTTCTCAGGAATCACTTACTGTGAGTTCTCGCTATAAAGGGAACGTGTTTGAACTCGAAGAGTATACAGGGTGAGTCAGAATAAGACTGATTAACATTGAGAGCAATCTCAATGGTGATTCGTCACTATTGAAATTGAACTCCGCCTTTTAATTTTCTTCCGAAGTTAAATATGTTATATATATGTATATTATTTTTATTCTAATGACTGTACCGTTGAAGAGGAAGAAAATAATAAAGACGATATTATTATTATTATTATTATTATTATTATTATTATTATAATATACGGATTTCTTACCTCGTTTTGAACTGAAATATAACTATCAACGTATGTCCTCAAATGCATCGTTTCTGAGATACCTTCAGGGTAATAAGAGTACGAAAAAAAATAAGGTTCTCAATTCCTTGGGAACCCCTGTAGAGGAAAAAATTCAAACCTGGTATACTATTCCAAATTTATGAATTATAATCACACGAGAGCTTGTTTTTGTCGAAATGAACTCTCACTTCAACTAGATTTTTGTTGCCTGGAAATAAAACCTCCGTAGAACGAGTAATTTTTTTGTCAGTTTTTTGAGTTTAATTTCGCAATGGCAACAATAACATTCGAATTATGAATGTCGAGTTTATTACAATCCGAAAAATGCTTGACTGTGATTTGGTGAGAAAATTCAATGAATGCGTAAATCACCTCATTGTTGATGGATTTTTCGATTTCCGTACTCAAAATCGCGGCATTTTCACAGATTACATACTATTCTGTGAACGCGATATTGATGAAGATTGACATAAACGCTATCAAAGAGTCGTTCACAGTTCTGGCTGTCATGGTTTCAGAGGCTAGGTTCCGTTTTGTCGCTGGAAAACTCAATAGTCCACTGGAATTAGTCGAAAAAAGTGACTAATTGCGAAAAATTCATTCAAAACGAACGGTCTGAAAAAGAATTGAAGTTTACGATGATGAAACTGTTGGATGCATGCAAGATGGCCACTGTGGGTTATCTGGGGAAAAATCAAATGGAAAGGGGGGTCTTGTGACACTGTTTTTCGAAGCACCTGAAAAATGAAACATTAGATAGTCGCCTGAATATAAACACATCGATATGAATATTGTATTCAAGCAAGATGGGGATCACCACATTACTCTAGACAAGTTAGAAACATTTCGCCATCTTGGAATTTTCATCTGTAAATTTTTCTTCAAAATATTGTATTCATGCATCAATTTCACTAGGCCAAGTTCCAAATTTTCCAGTTGTTATGTTCAAAAAATGAATGGGGGAGGGGAGGGGGCATTGTATTAAAGCACTGTATAATTGTAACTTTAATAGTTCCTCAAAAGTTTCCTGAAATGTATACGCATATATTTTGGGAACGCTCTGAAGATGCTACAAAACGGTTTTTCTGATTTTTATCTACGAATATTAATGAATGAAATGATTTTACACAAAAAAGTCTAATTAAATTATTTCGTCCGAGCAATATTTTTCATGATATACGCCGTTAAAATTATAGAAGAAATAGTTTTCGCTGATCTTCATGGAATATGAGGTTTAAATATAAAGAAAGTGATATCAAATCCTCAAATTCTATCTTGAGAATTTCAATGAGAATCCTTTAGACTGGTGTGAGGGTCTTTATCCTGTGGCCCTTACTTTGGAGCTCTGCTCAGGACAGGAGACTACTCCGGTATTTGACGGGGTGGGGGGGGGGGGGTTCCTCGAAGCCCAAAGTAGCAACAGTAGAGAAGGGTACAGGAGGTGATTAGATCATCTTGGTACCCACTATAGTAAACCAACGGTATTAAATCGACCTGGAAGGAAGCCAAGAGAATGTAGGCTTTAATTCCAAACCCTGGGTTTATCCTGGAGTACTGGTTGCTATCTTTATTCTGGATAATTACAGGAATATAAAGGAATCTTCGACGAAAACAGTATCTGGTATTTTAGATTAGTCCTGGAAAATTATTCACTCAAACTATTTCATTTAATTCACCTTGAGAATCAGAAACACGGTCCAAATTAAGGAAACAGATCAAATTCCTATTAATGTTTCTTTAATCTCTTGATTTTCTTATTTCAGAATTTTTGTGGGGTCAATTATCTTATAAATGTCAAATTTCCCTTAGCCACAAACGGATAGGATACATCGCACAAGAACATCATCGCACAAGACAGGATTTCTCAACAAAAATAAGAAGAAGAATTCACAACTATTCATGTCAGGTGTCCGTCAATAATAATAAATCTGACAAATGAGAATAATGAATTATTGGAAATGAAATCAATATGGAGAAATGGAAGATGCAATCACAAAAAATGGTTTATTTACAAAAAACAAATTTCTGGACTCGTTACACAGGTAGGGAAAGTATATCGGGAATCGAAGCAACAGGATTGAATGAATCTATATACAGTGTGAATAACTGGTGGAGAATATTTACAAACTTACATGTGTAACACAAAATCACTATACGATAATATACACTGGCCTGAGAGCACTAACAGCAAAAATAAAAATCAAAAATACGTGTGAGAGCCGGCAAGAACCAGGAGTGGAGTCAAGTGTGAAGTCTGATCTGAAGTTAGGTCTGACTGTCGTCCCATTTCCTTGCACTATTCAGTATTTATACACTGCTTTGGCCTTGGCACAAGGACAAGTAAATCTGGAATCTCATTGGTCAAAACTCCCACCTTGTCATGGCTCATGGCCATGGCCACTAAATCTGTCCTTGGAAAACACATTTGCACCCCGAACACAAAACGCGGAAAAAATAATATTGAACCCTTAATGGGCACAGGAACAGGATCTACTACCTTTGCTTATGCTACTGAAAGAATTTTGCTGGAAAATATTCAATAGCAACAAAGTTATATAAGCAGTCAAACGTCAAGCATTTCAACAGATAGGTAATTCATTTAATATTCATATCATTAGCAAAGGGTTGAAAAATATTGAAGTATTTAGGGTTGTAATGATGTCTAGTAGAGTTTACTATTTGGAAAAACTTTTGAAAGTCTGGAATTGATGAAATTCTGAGCTCCATCAGGTTTTCGAGTTTCGAGATATCGAACAAGTGAAATTCAAGTCAAATATGCTTCAGGAACTTAGATATTTATTGAAACCAGTCTAGTAATGAAGCTGGCTCAAAAACATTTCATTACTCTAGGGATGGGTATATTGAGAGACGACCTACTGTGGCCAAAGACGACAACTAAATGTCCCGAACCTGATTGTCTTCAACAAATGATTTTTCTTATTGCACAAATGGTTGTGAGCCATTATGCAGCATTGTTTTGCGGTTGCCGGAGATTAGGGTTGCATTGTTCGGCAGTTTGTGAAAATTGTCGTTGTCTATCTTGTTCAAATACAGAGTCGATTGAAGATGATCGATTCAAAGAACAAACCGAGGATGTTTGTCTCCAACGTTTCACATTCTGATAAATCAGAGATTTTTGTTTTTTCAGATTGTCAGCAACATCAGAGTACGATCTACCATTCTCAATTAATGATACTGTTGAATTTTCATCAATCGACATTATCAATTCTGAATTATGAATCGCTTTTCTTCGACGATAGTCAATGACATTAGCAAAATAGCCAAAGTGGATGGACAAAAATAGCATTTCACCAAATGAACATTGCAGTTACTTTCACCTCTGCATATTGCTAAGCGTATTCTTATGTGTCTGACAATTTTTATCTCGAAGAAAAAATACTCACAGGAACACGTTGGAAAACGACACGTTCTCATCCTCAGTTTGAGTGTAGGGTAAAATTGAGATCAAGATCGACATTTTCTTTCGAACTCTATGAATTCTGTTATAATTGGGATATCAAAATGAGTGGAAAATGGAAATATTCGAAATAGATCGAATAATCTGTACTTTCTTTGCATCCCTATGTACGATATAATGACGAATCGTTTGTTGGTGATCATTTGTCAGATGTATTCGTAAAGAATCAAGGTATAATTCGTAAGAAAAATGAAATCGAATTATATTAACCAATCATGAAATGACATAAAAAATATTAGTTTTTTTGTGAATATTTTATATAAATAAGTTCATTTCATTATTGAATACAACAGATTTCCGATTGAGATTTGAACTAAAGAATAATCTGATATCAAGTATATAACAGACTAGCACAATTGTTATTTCTATTTGTTCTCTTATTCTCTTTTCCCTCATGTGTCAATCAAACTGATTGTATTATTCAATTAAATATGGCTAACTATATTATTATAAGATCATAAGATTATATTTCATGACTTCTTGAACTTCTACAAATCGAGAATATTGACTGCACTTTTTTAGCAAATACTAGACAATGTATTAAGAGACTCGAATATAACTACGTATGTTGTGAATTTAAGGGAAGGGGGGAAAAGGAGATAGCCACAGGCTGCCTTATGTGTGTAACTTTGTTGTTCATAATAAACGATATTATTATTATTATTATTATTATTCTCACTATTATAAGAAGGCTCACAAGTTTTAGCTGAGCTGAGACACACTGTACGTTGTCTATTCACTGTCTATTTTGCAACCGTTGACTTCAGTCAATGTTTGGAGTATCTAAAGGATCTAATAGTCCCGTATGTGCACAAGAATACTGAGCAACTTACCACTGTGTTTTGTGAAGATGACTCTAGTCGTGTGCTCAGCCAATAGCCAAATATCAACGCTGAAAGTGCAGTTAGAACTATCTCCCGCTCTGTCATATTCACGGCAATTAGAAGAATATTTTCACATAAACACTTTGTTTCTTTATGTGACCTCAAAACGTGGAAAATTACTTTACAACTAATATAGTTGTAATCGTCGCTACCAAGTGATGATCGAGACTGAAGTTTAATAGTACATAGTAGGTAATGTTCAATGTTTGGATGACTTAACAGATAAGCGTGTGACATTATAGGTCGATTGTTGGTAACATTTAAGATCGTATTCTCCTTATTAAATAGCAATCGTAAATCGTTCAAATATTTGGCGTCCAATCGTGGTTTTAGATAACGAAGGAACGAAAATAGTGATGAAAGAAGTGGAATTATTGTTGGTATCGTTTCTTTAAATGATTACTTATACAGGTCATCGTAGAAGCTGGTTCATATGCTTTCAATATATATTTTGCCCAAATCAGTATTCATGAAAAGTGTTTGCTAAGAGAATGCGAAAATACGTTGACAATTTCCTTCTATCGGCTATAACCTCCCATATTTGATATTTTCACACGAGAGAAAAGTTGAATAAATCAGTAACTAATTTTTTTTGCAACCGACACAAAAGTCGTCCATTTTGATACCAAAATTAGCTCCTGAATTGAAGTTTCTATTACTGACACAAAAATAGGTAGGTTGCTAAGCAACATATTTAGTTCCTAGGAGCTAAAGTAGAACTTTAGTTCCTAGGAGCTGAAGTTGAACTTTAGCTCCTAGGAACTAAAAAGGAAGTACTGACCGTCATCAAGAATGAACAACATTGTGACGGTTGGTTATTTGGGTTGGGACGCATACCTGATTTGTTTCCAATTTCAGCAGATTTGGAATTTCATACCCATGCTGGAGATATAAGTACACCTTATAATAGTTTAGTATTGTAATTATAAACATTTCAGCTAAGTATATTTGTTTGATCAGGGAAGCCTTCAAGATTCAAATACTTGCTTGATCTGTATTTCATTCGTTATTCTCGGGATGGATATCTTGTTTTTGAATAATCACGGCAAGCAATAGTTTTTTGTCTCAAACAACGATATTGTTTAGCTTCATTTGATTATTAAGCGAAAAACATTGTATTATAGAGAGAGGTAAATAATCGTCATTATCATTGTTGATATGCTCATTAACCTTACATTTTCCACGTCTTGTTCCTATAGCTGGCACTGGCGCGGTATTTGCTATTAGAGCACCTGGTCCATACACAAATATGTCACTCTGTGATTGTTCTTATATTGAAACTACAATTCCAACATCCTTGAAAATTTAATGAACCTGAACGCTCCGCCTCGCAAATGCAAAATTCGCTTGTCAAACAAAGTGTCACTTTTGATCCTAATAAAACAATTGTCATGCAATTTGACACTTTTCAAAACGGACGGATGCTTTTAAACTTCTCATTTCACGTAACCAGTTGCGCAAAGTGAAATATTACAAAAATGTTGATGAAATATGTTCATTTCAGCACCAGTTACGAAATAAAAATATGGGTGAACGAAGGTAACAGTGCATTTTCTTAGAGATGAAAAGGTGGAAGGTTCTCAGGTTATAACTGAACTACGTATATTTGAATTAAGAATACTACAATACTTATAAAGCACAAAGATTATTATTAGGAGACAGAATGAACTGACACAATTACTATTTTTCATGTGACATTAATCATTCATGTCAAGATACAGAGTGTCGGATCTCTTGAATGCAGACCACGACTCGTATGAACTCAATCAGGATTTCTAACACTTCCCCTCGAAGAGTGGTCCAGTCTTGCAATCTTCCACTGCAAAGCCCAACATCTTCATACATCTGGTATGCTTGATTCTAGGTAGCCCTTTAGTCAGTATGTCTGCCACCATATTGTCTGTTGAGACATGTCCAATTTTCAATTGTTTCTCTTTCAATGCATTTCTTATGAAGTGGTGTCTTAAATCAATATGCTTACTTCTAGCATGGAAAACTGAATTTTCTGCAAGTTTTAGAGCTCCCATATTATCATTATATACTGTAATATCAGTCAATTCTTGAAGATTCAGTTCTGTGAGGATTCCACGAAGGTAAATGGTTTCTTTCGATGCTTCCGTCAACCCCATATATTCGGCCTCAGTTGATGATAGCGCCACGGTTCTCTGCTTTTTCGATTCCCATGATATTGGACCTCCATTCAAAATAAATACATATCCGCTGTAAGATCTTCGATCTAGTAGACAACTCCCCCAATCCGCGTCGACAAAACCTTTCAATGGTTCAGAGTCAGGAGTGAATGTTATTCCTACGTTTATTGTTCCTTTCAAATAACGTAGAATTCGCTTAGCTCCTATCCAGTGACTTTTTCCAAAACATGTATTAAATTGACTCAAAGTACTAACAGCAAAACTTATGTCTGGTCTCGTGGTAACGGCTAAGTATGTCAAAGCACCTATCAATTCTCTATAGGGCAGTTTTCTCTCTTCTTCACTAGGAGTTTCATTTCTCATGAATTTAACGTTAGGATCCATGGGAGTACTCAGGCTATTTGACTCCGTCATTCCAAATCGATTGAGAATATCTGTTATATATCCTTTCTGATTCATGGATAATCTTCCCCTTTCATGAGAGAATTCAACACCAATACAATATCCAATTTTTCCTAGCTGCTTGATCTCGAAATGTTCCGACAATTTTCTTCCAAAATCATCAATGACCTTCGAACTTTGAGAGGCGATGAGTATATCATCGACATATATGGTTACTAAAGTGATGTCTTCCCCTCCTTTGATATGATACAGACATGGATCAAAATTGCTTCGACTCAGTCCGAGCGATTGTAGCACCTGATCCAGCTTGATATTCCAGCTTCTACCAGCTTGTCGTAAACCATACAACGATTTCTTAAGTAGGCATACTTTATCACCATGATCTACTTCTTCAAGCATTCTAATTGCTGCTATTCTCATATCACTACTAGGTTCGCTCTCAATTAAAATTTCTAATATGTCATTCAGGAGTTTTGGTGGTTCCATGAAAATGTCTTCTTCGAGTTCTCCGTTCAGATACGCACATGTCACATCAAATTGATGTATTTCCATGCCGAAACGAACTGCTAACGATGCAAGTAGTCGAATTGTACTCATTCGTGCTACTGGTGCAAACGTTTGATTAAAATGTATTCCTGGTTGCTGATTAAATCCCTGCGCAACTAGTCTAGCTTTTCTCCTCTCAAGAGTACCATCGGCATTATATTTATTTCTCAAGATCATACGGCTTCCTATCACCTCTTGGTTTCTAGGACGATCTACCATTTGCCAGGTTTTATTTTTTATGAGGGACTTCACTTCAGCAGCCATAGCTTCGTACCATTCTTGGGCGTCTGGACTAGATAATGCTTGCTTCATGGGAACTTCTGATAAAAATGCGTATTCTTGTTCTTCCACATTCCCAACTCGTTCCTCTACAATTTGGTACATTTTTCGAGGTCTTCCTCTTGAACCAGTTCTTACTAGTCTAGGTCTCCCACGAGCTATTCTGTGAATAACTTCTCCAGATATTTCCTCTGGTATATCATCAGGTACTTCTTCAGGTATATCCTCAGATAGTTCTCCAGGTGCATGCTCGGGTACTTCTTCTTCTTCACAAATGTTTCTCTGTTGTACTTGTTCATGTTCTATACTTTCTAATGGTTTGATTTCTATACAAACGGTACGAGTATTATCGAGTGGTTCCCAAGGTGATTCCTGAATATTATTCTGAATAATACCTCCACAGTGAGTAAAATTTCTTGAATTTTCTGAGAATTTCACATCTCTAGTTATTTCAATTCTTTTTTCGTTTGTTATCCATACCCTATAGCCTTTGCATTGTTCTGAATACCCTAGGAAAACTCCCTCTTTACATCTGGAATCAAATTTGCCTTTACTTGGTGTTCTATTGAGGCAAAATATACGGCAACCAAATTCCTTAAAGTGGCTAACATCGGGTTTCTTTCCAGACCAAACTTCAAATGGGGTTTTTCCATTTAGGCTCTTTGTTGGACAACGATTACGAATATAATTGGCAGTATTGACAGCTTCCGCCCAAAATGATGAAGATAAGCCGGATTGCAATAGAAGACATCTTGCAGTTTCAACAAGTGAACGATTTTTTCTCTCGGCGATTCCATTTTGTTCGGGATTGTACGGAATGGTTAATCTTCTAGTGATCCCATGACTTTTGAGCATACTATCAAATTTCTTACTGGTATATTCACCCCCATTATCAGACTGAAAACATCTGATTTTCTTCCCCTTCTGTCTTTCAACAAGTGCAATAAAATCGTGAGTTGCTTGAAAAACTTCATCTTTAGACTTCAGAAAGCGTACTTCACACCATCTAGAGTAGTCGTCAATAAATTCCACAAAGTATTTTGCTTTACCAATAGACTCAACTCTCATAGGCCCACAGATGTCAGTGTGAATAATTTCTAGCATTTCTGTTTCTCTATCAGACTTCTTAGGGAATTGGGTTCTTGTCATCTTTCCATGTAAACAGACACTGCATTCTAAATTTCTATCGAATTGGCCAAGTTCCAGACCACTGATTGATTCTTTCTTAAATGCTTCAATCAAATCTTTGAAATTCAAATGTCCAAGACGACGATGCCATAATTCAATGTTCTGTGATGAAGTTCCTGTTCTGAATGCAGAATCAGATGTGACAGTCTGATTCGAAATCTCCCATTCTTCCTCACGAACATAGAATAAATCTCCTCTTCGATCTGCTACAAGTTTGACATTTCCATCACTTCCGAATACCAATGCATTGTCGTTCGTGAATAAAACTTCATAACCATTCTGTGTTATTTTTCCAATAGACAATAAATTAGTTCGTAATTCTGGCACATACAGAGTATTATTCAGAAAAATATTCTTGTTCTCACCAAACACATTGACCCCAAATGAAACTGTTCCAGTTGCTTTTATATCAGTCGAAGCATCGCTGGCTAGGTTCAATTTTCCATGTTCAGTTTTAATTATTTCTGAAAATTTTTCAATATCTCTGCATAAATGTGATGTTGCCCCACTATCCAAACACCATTCATGATTTTTATTGATCGAATTAACTTGGAAACATACATTTTCAGCTAACTTTACAGTTGGATCAATCTTCTTCTTTTGACATTCAATCGCCTTATGTCCATGTTTTTTACATTTGTGGCAACGGAATTTGAATGGACCTTTCCCGTTCGCGCTGGAA